AATATTACTATCTGTAGGCAAAGGAAAAACCTTTATTGACAAAAATACAGAAGAAAAATAGACTTCTCTGGGCAAAAGAGCACAGGACTTGGTGTCAAAATCAATGGAGTGACGAAGCTAGATTTGAAGTTTGCGTTGGTGATAATCAAAGACGAGTCATTAGAACTAAAGCAGAAGTCTTTCACAATGACTGTCTTAAGAAAAAAGTAAAGTTTCCGGCCTCTGTGATGATTTGGGGATCTATGTCAGCTAAAGGGATCGGTAAATTACACTTTGTAGAGGGCATTATGAATGCTGATAAATATATTTACGTCCTAAAAAATAACTTAAAACCGCAAATTGAAGAAATGCGTTTAAATGATATTGAATGCATGTTCCAACAAGATGGTGCAGCGTGTCATACGGCTAAAAAAGTGAAAGCTTGGATGATAGAAAATAATATTTCACTTTTAAAATGGACATCTAGTAGTCTAGATCTTTCGCCTATAGAAACTTTGTGGCATTATGAAAAAGAAGCTCAGAGAACAGCCCGCAAGAACCGTCTTAGAGTTGCGTGCTCGCCTGCAAGAAATTTGGAATAATTTTACGCCGGATGATTGTCAAAAATTGGTTGACACCATGCCGAGACGTATACAGGCAGTAATAAGCCATAAAGGAGATGTTACGCAGTGGTAGTTTCCAATTAAAATGTATTTATTTAAAATATTTTTTTTCTTAATTTTTGGTTTACGGACAATATAAGAGAATTTTAAATATTTTTTTATTAGGTACTTAAAAATACAATTTAACGGTAGAAAATTTAATAAACGTTATTTATTTAATTAAAACAATGTGTTAAGTTTAATTAATTACCGTATAATATTCTAAATATCTTCAAAAAACTATTTTTGTTAGTTGGGCCAACTTCACTGAGACAGGGCTCGTACTAGAAGCCCATTTTGAGAAATTTGTCAAAATACTTAAGTACTGAATCAGAATGCCACCGCAAAGCACCTTTCACAATCAAGTTGATAACTTGATCAAGAGCTAACTTTTTTTTAATTTTAACGTGTTTTAAAATGCTAAAATTGCAAGAAAAAAAATTTACAATGAAGTATAAATCAGTTAATATTAATAGTAAAGTGATATTAATAGTAAAGTGATAAATAAAATAAATTCAATTTTTCATCATTAAAAAATTGGATTTCTTATAATTTTGTAATTTCAACTAAAGAAAATCATATATTAAATATTGCATTTAAATCTGTGATATTCATATCTATGCAATATTTTTTAAATGTAGCATCAAAAAGTAAAACATTTTTGTCACTTTTTTGTTTAAATTCTTGTTTGCATTTTTATTAAATTATTTTTTCAAATTAATGCGCAAATTTCTGCCGGCAATACTATTAAATTTCTGCAAAAAACAATAGCTTTAAAAAAATTCTACAGCCAAAAACGTAAAACATAACAATATAACTTTTTAATAAAAATACTTTATTTTTTGCAGACCGGAACTGGCGCACGTGAAAATTAAATCACCAAAGACAGTTCAATTTTAACAAAGTTTAAGCAAAATCTAACATCCATGGATCATCAAATCAGCAAAGCTAGTGCACTAGCTTTGCTGATTTGATGATTTCTCTTAAAGATGGCTTTATAAACGTCTATTATTAAATTAAAAAGCTGCCTCTGTATGTAAAAATGTAAAACTTTTTTTCATAAAATTATAGGTACTAATAAGGGTCAACCTTAAACCAAATTTAAAATTATTTGATATTTGGATAAAAATTTTATGACAAAAAAAAGGGAAACAAACACATTTAGATTTGTTGATAAAATAGGTGCATAAACATAGGATGTCAACCCCCAAATATATTAAATTATCCTTGAAATCATAGTTATAAAGATTCATTTTTCTAAATTCTTAATAACTCAAAAAACTGCTACTAATTGTAGATAATTTATTATATAATAATATTCTTCTTTTATTGGGCTATAGGTACATTAAATACAAAAAAAAGCAAGAAATATTTTATAAAAGTAGAGATAATTTTAATAATTGAAAGGTGGTGACGGGACAAAAAAAAAAGATTTATCTTATCCCATCCACACGTCAATTATTAAAAATATCTCTACTTTTAAAAATATTTCTTGAGTTTTTTTATTTAATTTATAGCCTAATAAAAGAAGAATATATTTAAGAATTTTGATGCAAAAATAATATACAGGGTGTCCGGAAAAAGGAGGTCAATCCGTTAACCATATATTCCTTGAGTTAAAACAATAAGACTTTTATAATACCATTTTCTAATTTAGAGCTTCATGTTCGATATACAGGGCGACAATGTTTGAAATTTAAAACTGATTTTTTTTAATAATTTGAGTAATTGATAAGATATTAAGTTCAAATTCGGTACACTTCTTTAAAATAAATAGTTACATCTTTTGAGAATAACAAAAGAAAATAGAAAATAGTCAAATAATTAAAATAGGGGGGGGGTCCAGTACTCACTGACTCCCCCTATTTTTTATTACGTGCGCCAATGTCTTCCAAACTTTATTTTTTCAAGTAATCATTTATTGTTGATTATTTTTTGTCTCTTATAAAATTTTGATAAAATGATTTGTTTTAGAGATAATTTGTAAAGTATTGGTCCTTGATTGATGCCTACGCGGCTTAAGGCAATCTCATAATTTTCAAATATGTACTCTAAATCAAGTGAGCCGCTGTGACATTACCATTGATACAATTAAGTAAAATTTTGCAATAGGTAACAATACCAAAAACTGGCCAAAATTAACCCATTTTCAGTGACGCACAGATAAAAATAATACTAAACCAGAAAAATGAAATTAATTTTATTGCCCTAGGAAGAGCTTACAATAATTACTAATTTTCTTTACATAACAGTAAAACGCCACTATTATCGCTAGTTCAAGTCAATAATTTACTATCACTATTTAAATAAATTTGAAGCATTATAACAAGCGCGCGTCCGAAAGTGCTTGTCCAGCGCTAGAGGTCGGAGCCCGGTCACAAAAACATTTATAACTTTTGACCTATTACAAAATAATAACTTTTTTTTACCAACATTTTTGTAAGATAAGATAAAATGTGAAAAAATTTCCTCGCTGGCGGAGAAGTTTTATTAATTTTCAATTGTATAAAAAAATAGCTTCATTTTTTTTTAAAGGTTTGCCCCTAACAAAAATCTTGATACAAAAAATGTTAAGTTTTGATGAACCGTTTAGGAGTTATCAATTTTTGAAAAAAAAACATCCACAAAAAGTATTGCAAAAATCGATTTTTTGCAAAACTATTTTAGGAAAGTTGTTTTTACCCCAAAACCGATTGGAAACCGATGAAAAATGAGACCATCAATTTTTAAGTGGCACACGTAAGAAATTTTGAGCCAGTAGAGACGCATCATCAAGTAAATTTTAAAGTTAATGTGTGGGCAGGTGTCGTTCTTTTACGTCCTGTAATTTTACCAGGAAATTTGACTGGTCATTCATTTTTGATATGTCTTCAAAATACAGAGCCCGATTTACTTGATGATTTGCCTCTACTGATAAGACAAAATATTTGGTTTCAACCTCCGCATTTTGCTAGAAATGTTAGAAACTATTTACATCAAATCTTTCCTAATCAATGGATTGGTTTGGGTAAATATAATCCTGTTAAATTTCCACCCTGTTCCCCAGACCTTACCCCCTTGGACTATTCGGTCTGGAGATGTATGATAGATTTTGTGTATATGGTTCCGATTTTGAGCGAAAATCATTAAGAGAAAGAATCCTTCAAGTAGGAGAGGAGTTCAGGTTAAAGCCAAATATTTTTCGTAGGCTAAGATTTTCTTTAATAAAGAGGGCTGTGTATTCAAAAAAATACATTTTGTTTTGGTTACTACAGTAATTATTATCTTGTTATAACAAATTTACTATTACTTTTCAAGCATTATAATGCTTGAAAAGTAATAGTAAATTATTGACTCATAAACTAGCGATAATAGTGGCGTTTTAATGTTATGTTAAGAAAATTAGTAATTGTAAGTTTTTCCTAGGGCAATAAAATTAATTTAATTTTTCTGGTTTAGTATTATTTTTATCTGTGCGTCACTGAAATTGGGTTATTTTTGGCTAGTTTTTGGTATTGTTTCCTATTGCCACAGCGGCTCACTTGACTTAGAGTATTTGAAAATTATGAGATTGCCTTAAGCCGCGTAGGCATCAATCAAGGACCAATACTTTACACATTACGTCACCCTAATATAACAAGGTTGTATGTTAAAAAACCGAAAAATTTGAGTTTATACTTCTACAAGGTTTTATGTAATCCACCCTTGACATACAACTTGAAAATAACTCTATATATATGTATACATAGAATATACATTCTATAGAATTATTTTTAAGTGGTATGTGAAGCGTAGGCCACGTATAATCCTGTAGAAACATAGACTTAAATTTTTCGGTTTTTTTAACATACAACCTTGTTATATTAGGGTGACGATTATCTCTAAAACAAATCATTTTATCAAAATTTTATAAGAAACCAAAAATAATCACCAATAAATGATTACTTGAAAAATAAAGTTTGGAAGTCATTGGCGAACATACTAAAAAATAAGGGGAGTCAGTTAGTACTGGACCCCCCTATTTTGTTTATTTGACAATTGTTTTTTGTTTTGTTGTTCTCAAAAGATGTAACTATTTATGTTAAAGAAGTGTACCTAATTTGAACTTAATATCTTATCAATTACTCGAATTATTAAAAAAAATCAGTTTTAAATTTCAAACTTTGTCGCCCTGTATATCGAACATGAAGCTCTAAATTAAAATATGGTATTATAAAAGTCTTATTGTTTTAACTCAAGAAGTATATGGTTAACGGATTGACCTCCTTTTTCTGGACACCCTGTATAATAATTTACCTACAATTTTTTTTATAAAACAGTTTTGTGATTTGTCCCGTCTGTTTGCTTGAAATGGCTGAAATGTAACTTTTATTTATTTACCTAACATTTGATTTCCCATTTGATTTTGCATATTGATGTTTCCACCCATTTGAATCTGCATCTGTCCCATCATCTGGTTGCCCATCTGATTGGGGACTTGATTTTGCATTTGGTTTTGCATCTGGGGATTCATCTGATTTTGTAGTGGATTCACATTTGATTGTTGCATTTGTATTGGTATCTGATTGGGCATTTGTTGAGCCATTTGCTGCCCACCCATCTGCTGGCCCATTGGACCAGCATTTTGGTTCATATTTGGACCTCCCTACAAAGGAAATAAATATAAATAGTAGGGTGGCCCAAAAAAAAAAAGAATATTTTTTTCTCTCGTCTCTTGTGAAAATATATTAGTTTATCATGTTGTAAGAGCCCTGTCAAAATAACAGCTCAATTAAAAAATTTATAGGGGTCGCTCAAGATTTTTAAAAATTTCCAAATTCGTCAAAAATTGAATTTTTGTTTTATTTTAATTTTTTTTCTCGTCCCGTTATTATTTTCTAGTTTGAAATTAATAAAAATTCTGTAAATTTCAAATCGATACTTTGATTTCTAAAGGTCGCTAAAAGTTCGTTAATATTTATATTCAGAGGTCGTTCGAAAACATTCAAAATACTACTCTACTTTGAAAGTTTAAAAAATCTTGAGCAGCCTTTAGAAATCAAAATATCGATTTGAAATTTTCAGAATCTTTATTATTTTTAAATTAAAAAATAATATCGGAACGAGAAAAAAAATAAAAAAAAATTCAATTTTTGACGATTTTGGAAATTTTTAAAAATCTTGAGTGACCCCTAAAAAATTTTTAATCGAGCTGATTTTTTGACAGGGCTCTTAAAACATGATAAACCAACTTATTTTCACTAGAGACGGGAAAAAAAAATATATTCTTTTATTTTTGGGCCACCCTAATAAATAGGTAGGTAATTATTTATAATTTTAATAATTGGGCATTTAAAAGTATTTATAATTTAACATACCTACCTGGTTTTTCCTGTTTATGATTACAACTAATTAAAAATAAACATTTCCTTACCAAAGTACAACCCATCATCATTTGTTGCCCTCCTCTGTTTAATGTTTGCATTAAACTTGATGCTGTAGGACCCTGTTGTGGGCCCCCCATTTGCCCCTGTCCTCTCATGTTTAAAATGGGGTTTCTTGTACCCTGACTTGCCAGATTTTGCAGTGCATTAATCGGATCAGGCATGCCAGGCCCACCTTGTGGTTGCCCAGGACTCATTCCATTTGTTTTCTTGGTATCTGAAATGAATGATATAAACTTAATGTTAGGTTTTATGGGAAACATAGGCTCAGTTATGTTGTGTACAGTGTATTTGTATAAACTTGTAATATTTAGGGATTGCCATTAGACATACTCATTTCTCGAATGTGGAGAATCAATCGAGCCACAAAACCCAAGTATTCCTCCTTGTTTTTAGCTTTTAGATAGACGTGGTTTTCCATTTCGATGCTGTTCCTTGATGTATTCATCCCGGATGATCTTATAGCCTCATCACTAATAACACAACATATTAATAAACTTTTATTTATTTTGTTGACCTTGTAACTTACATTTTTGCCACAACACTTTGCCTAAAGCCTTGTGTAGTCCAAGACGTATCTTCCGTTGCCATTTTTTTTGTTCTTTGGCGCACTATCTAGACACAACCACAAAATTAAATTGGACTTTAGAATCTAAAGTTTAGGTAAGTTGTCAACAACATAAAACAAATCATTTGCAGTAGCTGAGAAACATAACAGTGAATAAGACGCATGTGCATAACGGCAGAGTAGTTCCAATAGTTTGAAATAGTTCAAGCGACTCATATACGAGGGTGCCTTATAAATACTATGTAGCAATAATACGAGGGGCATCCAGTAGGACAAGTAGTTTTTGAGTTATTACTAAATACTAATATAACTTATTAGGCATTTAAGTATTAAAATGCTCGGATTGATGTGTATTTTCTAAGCCTGTGCGTAATATAATACGGTTGTTGTAAAAACAAAATAAACATATAGGTACACTGAGAAAAAAAATGGGACAAATAAACTGTGTAGCTAATACTTTTATTAATAGTGAATATATTGTTTATTACCTTTAAATAGTCGAAATAATAACAATAAATAAACTTTAGTAAAACTTTATGTGTCGGGAATAAAAATATATTTAGGATAAATAAACTGTACAGTTTAGGGTATATACCCTTGTCCCATATTTAAATATTTTTTTTATTTGGGAGCAATAAACTTTTTTTTCAGTGTAATCTGCAAGCTCAAGTTAACAGATGTATTTTCTGACAGTTAAGTTCTTAACTGTCGACTTCATCCAAACCTTTAAATTTTAGCTTTTTATTTTTAAAACGTTATAAAATATTTTAAAATATTTAACGTTATTATTAGAAAATTGTTTTTTTACTCGCGTAAGCAATTGCTTAAGATTAGTACAAAGTTGTACTTTTGCGCACCCAAATGTGTTAAAAGCTGCCCATTATGTGGAGATAATCATAAAATGGATAAATGTGAGAATGAAATAAGAAAATGTATAAATTGTACAATGGCAAATAATAATTTTAATTTAAAACTAAATGTTAACCATTGTGTATGGAGTAAAGAGTGTGAATCACTAAACAGGATTATAGAAACTCAAAGAAATAAATTTATAAATAGTGAAGTCAATGCATAGCAATTAAATAAATGTGAGGTTATGTATTTTAATTGCCAAGGTTTCCTGAACAACAAAGATGAATTATTATTATTAATTAGAAGAGAAAAACCTCAAATCATTTGTCTTTCAGAAACACACATCACAGATAATGTTTTGGAATGTGAATATAAAATTAAAGGATATAGTGTGGAAATTTGTAATACCAACAACTCAAGAACAGGAGGTGTTATTGTTTATATAAGTAACAAAATATCTTACTATAAAGTTAACACTCTACAAGAAAGCAATTATCTATGGCTTTTGTCTATTCACTGCAGATTAAATACAAACTATGTTTTAACTGTGATTTATCATCCCCCGAACAAAGAAGATAGCACTTTCATAAAAAAATTTGAACAGTACTTACAGGAATTGAATGAAATGGGGATCAATCAATTAATAGTGGGAGACTTCAATTATGATCTGCTAAAAAGTACTTTTTATGGCAACAAAATCAAAAACTTAATATATAAAAATGGTTATAAACAGATAGTGACTGAGGCGACAAGAATAACCTCAAACAGTTCAACACTAATTGATTATGTTGTAACAAATATACCAAACACTCAACACAAAGTACACAGATCCCAAAAAATTGGTGACCACTCAAGAATATCCATATATTTAAACAATTTTTCCGCAGATGATAAATCACAAGTTTGTTTGAAAAAAAAGAATATGAAATATTTTAATGAAACTGAGTTGCAATTGAAGCTAATGGACAAAGGTTGGAATAATTCTGAATCAGATGCAAATACAATGGCCAACAAACTCGTCCATGTATTGAAATCAGTTATGGATGATATGTGCCCTGATATAAATGTTCAAATGTACAAAAAACATGCAGACAACAAATGGATGAATAATGACATCCTTCATAAAATGCAATTAAGAGATAATTATTATAAAACTGCAATACTTACAAAAAGGCCAGAAGATTGGAGTCAATATAAAGAACACAGAAATATGGTAACAAAAGAAATAAAAAAAGCAAAGGATCAGTACTATCTAGATACTATTGACAAAAATAAACACAATCCTAGGGAAATGTGGAAAAACCTGAAGACCTTATTACCAAATAAATGTGAAAGCCAACAAAATGAGGAAATTGTATTTAATAATATGAGAACCACTGACAAAAAAATTATATCAGAAAATTTTAATAAATTTTTCATACAAAGTATTAATAATATTGTTACTAATATTACCACTTACAACAATCATGATTTTATCATAAATAACATTATGACTGAGGAGATACACTTAAGAAAATTTAATAAAGTAACTATGGGAGACATTAAGGAAGTAGTCAAAAATCTGAAGAATACAGGGGGCTGTGATGATGGAATATCAACAAGAATAATTAAATGTGCTTTTGAAGTAATTGGAAATTGGTTTTTGGATGTGATTAATAGTTCAATGTCAACAGGAGTTTTTCCAGAAAATTGGAAGACATCAATTATAGTACCCGTACCAAAGATCTCCAAAACTATATGTTGTGAAGAGTTTAGACCCATTAATGTAGTACCTGTTTATGAAAAAATCCTGGAAGTGTGTGTAAAAAATCAACTAATAAATTTCTGTGATATGAATAAGGTGATTGTTCCAAACCAGTCTGGTTTTCGCACGGGCCATTCGTGTGAAACGGTAATAATTCAAATTTGTGATAAGTGGATTACCAGCATAGACAACAATAAGATAATCTTGGCTGTATTTTTGGATTTTAAGCGCGCTTTTGAGACGATTGATCGAGATTTACTGTTAAAAAAGTTGGAAAAGATTGGGATAAGGGGAACAGTGCATAAGTGGTTCAAGAGTTACCTGAGCAATAGGTATCAAAAAGTAAAGTTCAATGGTGTGACATCGGAAAAAATTCAAACTACTCATGGGGTTCCGCAGGGAACTGTGCTGGGACCAATTTTATTTACATTGTTCTTAAATGATATAGTAAACTGTGTAAAATTCTCAGAAATAAGTTTGTTTGCAGACGATACAATGCTATATATAATAGGATATAACATCTGTGATATGATAACCAAAATAAATTGTGATTTAAGTAATATCTACACTTGGCTCTGTGATAATAAACTTTGTATTAATATTAATATATAATAATAATATATATATAGCAAAAACTAAAAGTATTGTATTTGGAAGTAAGAGCAATGTAAGTAAAATTGGTAACCAAACTTTGTTACCTGTCCATATTAACAATGTAAAAATTGATTTGGTACTTGGGAGTTAAACTTGACGAAAATCTAAATTTTCACACACATGCACTTTATATTATGAATAAGATGTCAAAAAAATCATTCTTTTTAAAACGTGTTAGTAAAAATCTCTCCTTGTCAACAAAACTTCTTCTATATAAATCGACAATTGCCCCACACATTGATTTTTGTTCAACAATTCTCTTTAACTTACCTGCATATAGAATTGGGGAAATCCAGTGCATACAAAACCGATGTATGAGAACAGTATTGTATTGTAATAGATACACTCCAATTAAAACTATGTTAAATGTACTAAATTTGTTACCAGTTTGTGATAGAATATTGTTTAATACTTTAATGTTTATATATAAAATGAAAAACAATATTCTACCTCAGTATTTGTGCCAAAATCTGTCATTGGTTTCTGACAGAAACAGTTACACACTTAGAAGTAGTAATAATTTCAATATAGGTATTTGTAGAACAACTCAGATGAAAAACACTGTATTTTATAAAGGATTGGTACAATTTAATTTACTACCAGCTAAAATAAAAGAAAGCTTTAATATTAAACATTTTAAGACAAATTTACTTGAGCACTTCCGTAGAATCTGTGATTAGATATATATAAATTATTTATACTTTTATTGTTATACTGTACATATCTTGTATACATATTATATTTATATTGTTATTTTTTGTATAGGTATGAGATAGCTTCCTTGCTAAATAAAGATTATTATTAAAAGTTTTAACTTAAAACGGGAATAAGATTACTAAAATAAGAAGCCTTTAATATTGTTTTTGATTAAAAACAAAAAAATATTACCGGAATATTCAAATATAATTCAATATAAAAATATAAGAAGCAACTTTTCGCACTAACCAGTATACTGGTTAATTCCAGTAGCGTGAGGAAAAGTATAACCTTTAAATTTATAAATTAATAGTCTTTTAACATTAAAATAAATTTAATATTTTAAGACATTTTTATTTATAACTCATTGGTTTTATTTTAAAATGTTTGTAGTTTCAAAAAATGAGTTTTAACGCAGTTCCATTAAAAATCAGTTTTACTTTACAAATTATTGTTTGCTTTTATATAATTATAATGTGAATTGACGTTAAAACGTTAATTTTTACAAAATATAATTATTTTTCAGGCAATCGTTTTATTGTAAAAAATTTAAAAATGTGTACAATTCATTTTTGTAAGATTGAAAAAAGTACAAAATTAAAAAAATCTTTACAATTTTTGAATTATTTATAAATGTATCTAAAAATGAATGATTACTAAATATGATTTAGTAAAGAAAAAATATATAATCTTACAATTCATTATTTTATTTATTTTTGTATAATAGAAGTGACAATTTTGTTTTAAAACTATATTCCTAAAACAAGGAAAAATTTTAAAAAATATTTATTATGAATGACTGACTTACCTGAGTAAAAATTAAATCTATTCATTACTTATCTCTAATCCTCAAAATTATTTTATGTAAGCATTTAAATACCTGCTAGTATACCTCTTAGAAAACATTTTTGCTAATTATGTCAAGAAACAAAAATTTTATAATAGGTAAAATATCCAGGGTTTATATAATCTATGCTCAGAAAATGTAATATTAGTACTAGCCCTTATCCTGCAACTAAAAGTTCTCCATGATCTTAAGAAGATTACTAAATGTGTAGCGAAAAAAGTTTTCCTTTAAAAATGCACTTTAAGGATGCCGACGACGATATTTCATATAAATCTGATAGATTTAGAAAAAATGTTATAGAAAAGATGTAAGTAAAACAATTTTTTTTTTAAATTCCTGATTAACCAACTTATATTTTTTTAGTGAAAGGGCTCTGCGGGTGACAGGGATGGAAAAATATATATTTTGGACCAGCATAGATCTAGAAGAAAAGATTTCCGAAGAAGCAAGTAGTCTTGAACATTACATGACTCTAGTGGTTAAGTGTATACGGGAAATAGAATATTATAGTAAGTTTTTTCTTAATCAAGTATATACATAATTTTTAATTTAATCTTTGACATAAATATAATAACTAATTCACTTTTCAGGAAAAATCTTGAAAGAACCTGTCTGGCCAACATAAGGAAGATTTAAATGTTTAGTACTAAATTATATTATTTTATAGTAATTTTTTATTCATTTGTTTTTGTTTAACTCTTTAATGTGATGTATGTATGTATTTTTAAAATAGAATAAATTATAGTATAAAATTTAATATTGCTTTTATTTAAAAAGAAAATATTAGAAGGTACATGGGTCATTATACTATTGCATGCCATTTGTCCCTAACATTTCTTATTAAAAAAATAATTAATTGAGACAGCTAATATATTTTTTCAATTAAATAAGGTTAAAAGTTAGCATCACACTCTATAACCCGATGTCCCCATCATATTGCAATAGTGAAATATTTTATAGGTTTTTTATGAAACAGAATTCTAAAGTGAAATAACAAATAAGTAGCTCCTCAGTACTAATACAGAATGTAATAAAATGCCTGTGAATAATTGTTTAGGCGTGACCAAACCTTGTCTTTATTTTTAATGTCTACTTCGTCACAAACCGCCTTAATACAACAGCTTTGTTATAAAAATAATGTATCTTGTAAGACACCATTGAGTTTGACTTTAAATATAGTCGTGCATAGGTATAGAGCCGAAAAATATAAAAACAAAGCACGATTCAATACAGTTATGATAAAACTTTAAGATTTGATATTCAAACGCGGAGTCATCCTATACACTTCTATAATTTTTCGTTTGCTGTGTAGTATGGCTTTTGTTATTTTGCGCGTTACAAACAAGCAGCGTTTGTTTTTCAAGGTTATCTTTCGTCACGGCCTTTACATTTGCATTATTTAATTTTCTTTTTCAGGTAAAGTAAACCAATTTGTTTCTTTAATTAATGCAATGTTTTATGTGCATTTATTGGGTCACTTGGAAAATAGATTTTTCATTGTGAAAAATGTCTCCTTCGTCACATGTCTCTTTTGTCACACAGTGTGACTCACACTGCACTGCTATCGCTACGGCATTACACTTAAAAATAAGAGACTTTCTAAGCAAAACTTTACTGCCAAGAGTAACATTAGAATTACGTTTAGTTTGTCTAAATAATAGTCTTTGGGGCTAAAAAGTATAATGACCACATATGTCAAAAAAACTATTACTTTTTGAACCACCCTAGGACATATACTAGTCCATCATTATTTTTAAGTTTTGATCTTACCACGTTTACTGTTAGTACGGCAAATTGCACTTTTTAACCCTGAAAATAATGATAAAAATATATTTTTTAATTTTATAGAATAAATAAAACACATACTTATTTTAATATTTTTTATTAAGCAACATTAGTATGAAATTAAAATATTAGTTCTTAAAACTTATAATGTTACAAATAACACCTTAAAACCTATAATATGAAAAAACAACACAAATAAAAACACTATGCCACATAATGGAAAAATGTTAAATCTAATAATATCCATTCTTAAATTAGTTTGTATTTCAAAGCGTTATGAATCTGGTGATTTTACCTTATTAATACTACACAAATTGCTACAAATATTACAGTAGATTTAGCTAAATGTTTCCCTTTTCTTTTTTTTATATTTTTTTTTAACGAAAACTCATCACAGAAGCTTGTAGATTTGTCTCTTGGTTTATACTGTTTAAAAATATTAAAATACCTTATTTATCAAATCAGGTGTAAACCAAGATTATCCACAGCATAAAGCACAATTTCTTCACGTCCAAAATCGCGTTCATACAAAAGGCAGCACGAAATAACATGTACATTTCAGTTAAATTTAAAAATCATACCCAGATATTTTATGGCAGTTTTTGATATATTATTTCCGATTATGGCAGTTTTGAATTTTTTAAAATTTTCTACATTAACACAAATAAAACAGCGTTAGCCGCACAAAATACCATGCAACAATATCTCCAAAAATATTCTGCTAACCTTTTATCATAACTTTCAAACCAAGCTAGAATTCAAGTTCGCGCCCTTACACTGACTTGTACATTATTAAAAAATAATTTTATCTTACACTTTTTTTATTAAATTACCTAGCTACACGTGAAATAAGGTGCGCAAAACGTTTTACAATATTTTAAAGCAAAATCTTTTAATTTAATATCTCACACTTGGCTAAGCTAGCTGGTCAATTTTAAAATATATCCAACATTTTATTAGTTTATAAATTCGATTAGGTTATATAAAATTTCGACAACTTTTTAAATTTAACACAAAACACATAGTTTAAAATGAGCATTCTTGTAATATAAGTAGAATATAAAAATACAAACTAAATGGGTAAAAAATAATCACAACTTCGTTCAGTCTAAAAAGCAATAACACAAGAAGTTTACTACTGATAAATCCTTCTCGTGATGATATTGGGATCAAATCTCAAGATTTATATGTAAAGCAGATAATATACTGTTAATTAAATGAACTATACAAATATTCATTGTGATTTTTAATCGGACGTCGGAGTCAATTTGTTCGCAATAATGTTGGCTTTGTTCTGGCGGACAACTTCAGCGCGTTTTTCCTGAAAAAAAAATACACCACAAAACATAAGTAAAATATAAAAATTTTACCTTTTAAAAATATTCATTTTTAATGGTTTCCAATCTTTGAAATTTTGTTTGTTCAATGTAAAAAGTAAATTCCTGATCTTACAATTAAATTAAGTTTTGTTTGAGTTATTGAACTGTTTTTGAAAATTTAAACAATAAATTTAAAAAACACAAAAAATTACATGGATTTATAAAGAGTGTCCCAAAAACACCTAACATTTCAGAAATTTAACAAATCTGTCTTTTGAGCTGAAATAATCAACATCTAAGAACATGTGTTTTATTAGTTTGTCAAAAAAAATTTTAAACCATTATAATTTTAAACCTTTATAATTTTATTATTATAATGTTATCCTTTTATATTTGTAACCTGTGATAAAATTACTATTTTTCAATTATTAAGCATTTAAGTTTAAAAAACTAGGCTGTGTTCTTACAATTTTGGTTAAATTAGAAGAAAGTTGCGTAATTACAAGCCTATTAAAATAAAATGTATGAATTGAAAAAAAAAGCCAGCGGTTCGTAAAATATTAGAAAAAAATCAAAATCAAAAATGGTGTTTGAAAAAAGTAAATTTTACATATAATCCAATTTCTATATTTAATGGTGGTGGCAATCTTATCTAATAGGCAAAATAAATTACAAAATTTTCAATTTTCAAATGCCATACCCATACATAGAAGGATACTTGGTGCAAAAATTACTTTGCACATGTGTTAGAAACAATATTCTCGCAATTTTATTTACCACTTTAAACTTTGTTTTCCATTTTTAACATTCTTTTTACAAGCGTGCAGAAAGTTGCTACTTATATTATTATTTTGAATTATTTTAGCAATATTTTTTGTTTTTAATTAAAAATACTTTGCGCCATGATACTACATAAGTAGGATCATGCTTTGCGCACACAATTAGAAAAATATATTTTCTGAATTAATGCAAATGCGTTTTAAAGCTCCACTGAAAAATTGTGACTTATTCCCTTATGCCTTTTACCCACTTTAGACCCCTTTATGGAAATATTCAGCATGGTATCTTGGATTTTTCGTTTTTTTTTACCATTAGAGAAATTGGTATAATAAGTGAAAAAATGAAGTTACTTGTGGTGAAACTAAATTGAAAATGATTTGACAGATTTTCAAAAACATGTCGTCATTTAATCACCAACCGGTTTTAGAAAAGATCTAGAGAATTATTTTCAATTTATCAAAAAAAATCGAATCAAAACATGAAACCTGAAAATATATTAATACAGGGTGTTTCATTAATAATTGGTCACATGCTAACTGAAGAATCCTGAGCCCAAATTATAAAGATTTAACATAAAACACTTAGGTGAAATGTGCCCCATTAATGAGATACAGGGTGTGGAAGTTAAAATTAATGTAAGCCACTCTGTTTTATTGGTTTATTTTTATTTTTCAGTAACTTTTAACACAATGCTCTAGAGTGCCTATTTTTTGGAATTTTTGAATTTGAAAAAGCTCACATTTTTAAACTGGTTTAATGGACTGATAGGGAAATTGTTAATTTAAGTAATTTACCAATTACGGTAAAAAATATTACGTAATTTTAAAAATATATTTTTTAATTTTTAACTTTAACACTCTGTATCTCAGAAGTGTTTTAGGTTAAATCTTCATATTTTGGACTAAGAATTCTTTGGTTGGGGTATGACCAATTATTAATGACACACCTGTATAATGTGATGATATTATAAATACAAATAATATATAATTATAAATAAAAAAACAAAAAATTAATTGATTTTTTCGGGGATTTACAGAAATACTGAGGAAATTTGCTGGTGTATTATGTTGCCGCGCCAATTATTCAGTATCGTAAAATGCATTTTTTCATCAAAATAAAGCAATTAAACCCCAATTTTTCTGGAAATTCTAAAACTCTAAACTTGACATAACCTTATTGTTATTAACACATTTAATATCTTTAAAACAACATTAGAGAATTTATATAAATAAAAATATAAATGTTAAAAAAGAGAAATAAAAAAATCGAATCAATTTTTAAAACTGAAAACTCGTAAAAAAATGTATGCTAATGCACTTTCTTTGGGACACCCTGTATAAATAAATGTTCTTTAAAAATAAAATATTTAAATTTTAAAAACCTTTTAAGTCAAAAACTACAATAATTTTCTTATACTCCATATTACATCACAATTCATTTTTAAGACACCATGTATAAAAAAAATAAAGAACCAAAAAAAGGATTTTTATACAAAATTATTAACCTCTCAAAAAATATTTAATAAATGGTAAAACTATTTTTTATTTCAATAATAAACCTTTTAAACTTCATTCCAGTAATGGATTAATGAAAGCTTGGCAACTAAAGTCGAAAGTCAAATCAGAATTAACTAGCAATCGGCCAAAGAGCGTTTTAAAAGCAATTTCGCTACTTACGTTCCTCTTAATGGTCTCCAATTTGCGCTGCATCTCTTTTTCTCGCTTTTGTTCGGCCGCGCTCAATTTCGTCTCGATTTTAGTTACAGTCTCGGTCTTGCGAATCTCGACCGCTTGCTTTACCTCCTCGACTTTTTCGTGCTAATGATGATTTAATGGTGAAACGAGAAAATAGGGTAAATAAAATAAAAATAAATATAAAGATGAGGTGATTAAAATTGCATTGCGAAATTAAATTAATACACTAGTTTAGAGTTTGAAAACAGATCAAGTATTTATGCGTACACGTAAGTCATGTAGATGTGTCGATGTGTGAGTTTGTACGAAAAGCGATATTAGTGAAAGTGGGGACTCGTAAACTTGACGTAGAGGGAATCATATTCGCATGTGTGTTTGTGGCGTAAGAAATGAGTGGCTATAAGTGAGAGGTAGTAATAAATCAATACAATATGGCTGATTGCGGCACTGTGTGCCCAAGACCGCACTTTTTTTTAAGATTTTTGTTGTACAAAAATAAAATTGGCAAAAAATATTATGGCATTTTGGATGCGTGAAGGAAATTTTGTATAAAATATATTTCAAATGGTATACTTTATCACGTCATAAACAAAAAAAAGATGACAGACCCCTTCATTCATAAGGATGATAAGAATAATCTCCAATACCCTATAATTACTTTAGCAAGGATTTAAACAATTTATTCCCACAGTAGAAATCAAACAAAGTTGCGGTTAGGTCATCAAAGTTTGAGAATTTAATATTTTCACCATTGCCAGATTTATCAAGAAATATCAAATTTGATATTATTATTCTCAAACGTTAATGACCTGAGCGCAACTATGTTTGATTTTTACTATAGAATAATATTTTTGTAGAATTTATTGAAATAAAAATATATTAAAAAACTCGTTAAAAAATACATGTATGTGTATGGGTATCTTTTTTATTTGAAGAGCTACAGGGTCATTTATAATTTTTTTCGTCTACTGCATTTTGAGATACCACCACCATCTTTTATTTTTCCTATGGCCGCCATATTGTAATTTTACAGGGTTAGATAGAAAATAAATCATGGAATCCAACGATGAATCAAACTACATAAGTTTGGTGGCCATTATAAAAACAAAATATGGTGATGGTAACACAAAACATAGTAGAAAAGAAATTGGATGAAAATGTAGATTAATGTATATTATTATTATTGTATACGTTCTTTTAATGTTCTACCTTTAGCTTTTAGAAACTTGGAAATAAAACAATTTAAACCTAAATTAAAATACTATCTTATTAATAGAGCATTTTATTCAATGGATGAATTCTTATCCAACAATTTTTATGATTTATCCTAATCTAGTCGTTTTTATTCAAATCATCTTGTCTGTAATTGTATGTATTTACCTGTAATTGTAATTAATTTACCTTTATCTGTGTAATATTTCTTATTTTTCATTATAAATTATTTATTTATTTATTTATTTATTGTGCAAAAATTGTGTATCTTTTTGGAGCATAAATAAATATTATTATTATTATTATGTTTATATGTAAAACATTTTTTAACATTCCAAGGAATAAGAAAATTATAACAATTTAAGTACAATTTTTTTCATGTAAATAGGCTTGTAACTTTTTTCTAATTTAACCAAGATTGTAGCTCTTTAAATAAAAAAATACCCATATAAGTATACAAGATTTACTTGATCTTTCATTGGAAATATTGTTTATTATATGTGTAAAAACTGTATTTTAATAAAATATGTTAAAATATACTTACTATATTATCTATTTTAAAAGGTTTGGAACAAAATCACCTAAACATTATTATATTATTTTATTAATTATTTCATCAGGAATTTTCTGCCAAAAAGTTTTTTAAGGTATAAAAGCTGTTATTATAAAAAATGATCAGCAAGTATATTATTTATTTATTTAATATTGCCATTTTTTTTAAAGATGTAGCAAAAATTGTACTAACTAATACGTTTAAAAATTCTGTTAATATAGTTATTTTTCTTGAAATTATAACACCATCAAAACCTCAAAACTATTAAACTCTCTAAAAATGTTTATGGGACCAAAAGTTAATTTTTATATGTAATCTCTCTGAAAATTTTAGACTTTTTAGACCATTTTGTTTGCAAAAATATAAAAATAAGAGGTTTATAGGTTTAAAATAATAGCAACTCTTTAATAACTGTGTAATTTGCTTCAACTTTTTTCAAAAAAATAATTTTGAACACCTATTTTCCTATCTGGGTAGGTACATATTTATTCACAACCTTCTTGACATAATATTATTATTACCCAAAGGTATCAAATTAAAGGGTTAGACGACTAAGAAACGATAAGGTGGTTGAAATTTTTAAAATTCCCTAAATTTTCCAGATTTCCAAAATTGTTCAAGCAAAACTCGTACCAGCCAACACATCCTTTATGACTACAACTGTACTAAACTGTTATTTAGTCGATATCTTTAGTTACTAAACATTTTGCAATGCAATAATCTTGTTTTTGATGATATTTCCGTACCTTGAAATGACAACGTTCTAAGTGCAGCTGCACTGTTAACCGAAAACGACTTATCTACAATATTAAATATTGCAGATAAGTAATTTTTGCTTAAAATGCAACTGCACTTAGAACCTTGCCATTCCAACGTACCGATTTGGCAGTTTTGCGAACCACTTACCCTCTTTTTGGCGGCATCCAGTTTCTTTTGGATCTCCTTCTCGCGATTTTGCTCGGCAAGCGTTAGCTTAGTTTCGATCAGTGCGGTTACCTCGGTTTTACGTTCCTCCACTGATTGCTTAAGCTCGATCGGTTTGGTGTTCTTTAGATGATTGCGTTGGAAAAAACATAAACAAAAAGAAGCGTACAAACATTTTGATCCCAAGCATGTAAAAGCAATGAGTGTAAAAATATGTGTGAACTAGGAAATGAGGAATGTCTTTTAAAAGAGACCTGCGCATTTTAGTTAAAACATGTTATTTTTGCAATTAAATTCATTTAAATGCCAAGTATGGCACGCCGTTTTAACATTTATTAAATAATTTTTTAATTTAAAATATTATTGGTTTAAAATTTTCCTAACTAAAATTTTTAAATTTTAAATATTTTCAACTATCATGTATTGAAAGACAATATTTACTAACAGTTCACTTCTGTATAAAATTATTTTCAATCAATTTTTACAAATATTTTTAACTATCATTTTTTAATAAAAATAATTTCTTAAGTATACTTTTTTTGTGCAGAATTTTGTAAATCCTAAATATTTTTTTTTAAATCATTTAAATTAAATTGGTAAAGTTAAGTTTTTTAGTATTTAAAAAATAGTGTCGAGACATTTAAAATAAAAACACATATAAAACTTTTTCTACCAAAATAGTTTAAAAAGTTAAATTTTTTTTAAACCCAAAACATTTAATACTTAAAAAATATTTTAAATATAAAATGCAAATGTAAAAGTTTATGTTTAAAATATTGGTTTTTAAAAATTGTAGTTTTGATATTTTATTCTACAAAATTATTGGTTTAATTTGTAAAATAGTTATTTGTTTTACAAGTGTTGAAAAGCGACTTTTTCATGCGAGTTTTTAAGTTGCCCACGAGGTCATTTAAATGACTCTTGAGAAATTTAAACCAATAACTTTTATTTTTAACAAATTTAAATTGATTCATTTTTAACACAAACATATTCACATTATATTTAAATGTAAGTCGAAAATTTTTAATTCGCAAAGTGTAAACGCTGCTTTAGCTGACTGCATACGCTGCAGATTTCGCGCTTTGTACGTTTCACCATGGACTATGCTTAAAATTTACCACTCTAGAAAGAGACTGGGTACGCCGTCTACTAAAGCTATGTTTATAAATTTGGTGTTAAAAATATATCAATTTAAAATTGTTAAAAATAAAAAGTTTTGGTATAATTTGTAGTCATTTAAATTTTTAATTAAAAAATTACTCCTTTAAAATTTAAAACTTACATTTTAATCTAATGTGGGAATTTTGGTATTAAAAATTTATCGACTATCATTTAAATGACTCTTTACAAATTTAAACCAATAATTTTGTAGAATAAAATAGGTATTTGAACTACAATTTTTTAAAATCAATATTTTTAAGCCTAAAGTTTTACAGTGGTATTTTATATTTAAAATATATTTTATTTTCAATTGTTTTAAATTAAAAAAAAAATTCTGTTGCAACATCATTAAAGTGCTAAACTTTAATCTTTAAACTATTAAACTAATAAATGCTAAAAGGGCGTGCCATAGCCAATAGATTAAAATCTAATAACTAATTTTTTTATGCAGATTTTAATCTTGGCATTTAAATGTATTATTTGATTGCAAAACTAACATGGTTTTCCATGTTTTAACTTAAACACAAAAAACAGTATTAGTTTCACCGAATACTGCGGTACAATAACTTAAATATTAATATATTCTGGACAAAACGCATTATTTAAAAAAAATATAACACTTTTTTTAAGACATTTCTCCGATTTATTTCCGTGAAAATAAAGTGAAATAAATTAACTTACGTGGCTCCTGAGTTTTTCCCTTTGCTCGAGTTCCAGCTGTTCTTTGCGGCTTTTGGCCGATTCCAGTTTTTCTTGGATGGACGCGTCCAACTGCTGGAATTTGACGGCGTTGGATGTTCGCACTTTTTGCACTTGCTCTTCCTGGATAACGTCAAAATTGCACAGACACATGCAAGGGCAAATGAGTATTGTGATACGTGAGATTTGTTTTGTGAAAATAGTAGAAGTCCGCACAAATAATGATACTTGGACTTCTACTATTTTCACTAAATTTTATGAATGGTGACTGTGTGCATACATAGATTGTAATTATTTAAGAATAACAATTTTGGATACATACATGTTCCTTTAGACGTTCCAACATTTTCTTCATGTTTTCATCTCTTTGCACAGATGCGGTTTTCAGTTTGTCTTCGATGGCAGTTCGAACCTCGCCGGTTTGCTGTTCAAGTGTTAATCGGGCTTTTTCTACGTTTTCAATGTGATCCTAAAAAAATACACAACAAGTTATTGTTTTAATCCAGGAAAGCAAAAAACATATATATATATATATATATATATATATATATATATATATATATTTTTTTTATATACATATATGTATATAAAAAAAATGTTATTAACAGCTACAGAGCACTTAACAGTTTCAAACAGTTTTGCCCTTTTATTTGTAGTAAACTGAAAACTTCTAATCAAGAAATATTAGTTTTTCTTTATACATAATAATTTTTGTTGGTAATAGTTATACATTTTATATACTTTTTTATGCCGTATATTAAAGTTTTTCTCCTAATTCAATCTGAAAAATGTTTTAAAATAAATGTTTTACTGTTGATACAAAAAATTAAAAATGTAGGTATATTGTCAATTATACAGGGTGTTATGTAATTAATGTTATATATTAAAATGGGTTGTTCCTTAGGGTCCATAAAGAAGCACCTGAAACTTTTTTTTTCTAAATTCCAAAGACTAAAAATAATTTGTAATAACCTTTATCCTACCAAAAAGTACGCCACTGATCGACTAGGAACTTTAGGCTAATCTGGTTTCCTAATTTAATTTATTATGTTATGGTTGGTGACAACAGCGTTTCCAAATTCTGTCAAAAAAGTTGACAAACATTGTTTAAATTTAGCTTAATTACAAAAATGACAAAATTAACAATGCAAATTGTCAATTTGGCGTTTTTATTAATTGTTGGTTATGTCATTTTTGTACTGAAGGTAAATTCAAACAAAATCTGCTAACTTTTATGACAGAATCTAGTGCATTTCTTTTAAATTTTAGGTTATGTGCTCAAATTGTAAATATCTTAACTAAGGGAAGTGCTTTTGGATTTATTTACATAAATTAAATGTTTAAAGTTTAACCCGTGAACTGGCCCAATTTCATCTGAGTAAACAGAAAGAAAAAAACGATGAAAAAATTAATTTTGTGGTACTAAATTTTCTAATCATTGCTTAAGCTAATAGCTTAAGCTATTAGAGCATAACACTTTTGTATTTATTGAGTTTTTATTTATTTTTTACAAAAAAAATTTTTTTACATCTGGCAACGCGCAGCTACTTTGTTGGTTGGTATCTATGTACTCACAGAACACAAGTGTGCAGAGATAAGCCAAGTGTTTAACCAGTGGCGTATCACATAAAATATAAAAAACTTCTAATGCATATTTTTTCTTTATCTTTGGAAAAAAAATTTTTTTTAATATTTTTCCTTAACTCCTTATGTCAAAAGGTATTCAGTATTTTAATATATAACATTAATTACATAACACCCTGTATAAAACATTTTTTGTGTTTTTGAAATTTTAGTGTGCACATAATTTTTACATTTTTTAAACTTTTTGATAAAAGTCCCTGAAATATGGAAAATATTCCTTATTATTAATAATTTTATATTTTGGACATGTATGGTTTTTTTAAAAGACTACCTACACTATTTCCAAACATTTTCTTTAAAAACTTGAATAAGAACATTTTGTTAATATTATAATACAAAAACAAAAGTCTAATAAATTGGCCATGGACTGTACAATTCAAATTTATAAATAAAAATACTAAAAATTGGACAAAAATGGTTATGTTAAATTTAGTTTAAAATAGAGGTGGCAGATTTTAAGAGTGTTCATAAATTGGAATTAAAATAGATAGATCTTATGAATAAAAGGGAATTAATAAAACAACTAGAAACTACAGTTAAAAAGGAAATATGAATAAAAGTACAATTTATTAACGCGATACAACTAAAAAAAGACTCTTTTATAGTAGAATTGAGAAACTGGGAAGACAAATTAGATGTAACGAAAAAAAAAGAATATCCTTATAAGGGAAGGACTACATACATAGAAGGACAACTGACCAAAACAGAGAGAAAATACAAAAAAACTAAGAAACATGGCAAAATAAAAAAAGATTTAAGGAAGACAAAGTCAAAGTTATGTAGCAAAAACTGGAAATAAATGGTATATTCTGGAAATGTAATTGGAAAGAAAACACAATAAAGACCACTCCAAACAAAACCATTGAAGATACAGATAATCCTCCAAAGAACTATTAAATAAGAATAAAAAATCGGACTGTATTAAGAGACGAAATGGGCAAAGAAAAGGAAAAACGAAAAGATAAAGACCAAAAAAATACGGGAAATTTGGAAAACATTCAATTTTCTTAGTTTCTTTAAGAAACTTTCTTGACCCATCACTGGTAATATTCATAAGAATAAGAAAAAATTGAACCTACACCTCGCCAAAGATTTTTGTTTTGAATGCGTTCCACCAACTTCAAATACCGACAGACAGCTGTTTCGACCTTTATTGGGTCTCATCAGTGTCGGGCAACTTGGTGTAGTGGAACACAATCAAAACAAATTACTCCCTCAGCTTATATGCTCGGTTGTTAAGTCAACAGAGGCGAGATGTAAGAACATCAAGTGATCCACACCGTCAAACGACGTGGCCTTTGCCGCAATCGGTACATACTATGCAACCGGGACTGCACACAGCAATTGTATCACAGATACTAATATGGCCTAAAGGAATCTAAAATTAACCCAAACGGGCTAAACATTAAGGTAAACATTCAATTTTCTTAGTTTCTTTAAGAAACTTTCTTGACCCATCACTGGTAATATTCATAAGAATAAGAAAAAATTGAACCTACACCTCGCCAAAGATTTTTGTTTTGAATGCGTTCCACCAACTTCAAATACCGACAGACAGCTGTTTCGACCTTTATTGGGTCTCATCAGTGTCGGGCAACTTGGTGTAGTGGAACACAATCAAAACAAATTACTCCCTCAGCTTATATGCTCGGTTGTTAAGTCAACAGAGGCGAGATGTAAGAACATCAAGTGATCCACACCGTCAAACGACGTGGCCTTTGCCGCAATCGGTACATACTATGCAACCGGGACTGCACACAGCAATTGTATCACAGATACTAATATGGCCTAAAGGAATCTAAAATTAACCCAAACGGGCTAAACATTAAGGTAAACATTCAATTTTCTTAGTTTCTTTAAGAAACTTTCTTGACCCATCACTGGTAATATTCATAAGAATAAGAAAAAATTGAACCTACACCTCGCCAAAGATTTTTGTTTTGAATGCGTTCCACCAACTTCAAATACCGACAGACAGCTGTTTCGACCTTTATTGGGTCTCATCAGTGTCGGGCAACTTGGTGTAGTGGAACACAATCAAAACAAATTACTCCCTCAGCTTATATGCTCGGTTGTTAAGTCATGGACATGAAACATTGAAAGCACACAAGGTAAAGAAAATAAATTAGTAGAAGAATTTGAAGAATTAGGCCTAGACATTTTGGCAATAACAGAAACTAAGAAAAAGGGATAAGGTATAAGAAAGTTAAGTAACACAACAATAATATAATAATATAGGTGCTAATTTTTAGCGTATACACAAGAGTAGGAAGTAAAGGAATGGAAGGCTTGGTCTGAAAGAATCCTAACAGTTGCAATAAACAACCAGAACAAACATAATAAAAACAATCATTATAGTCTATGGGCACAACGATAATGATACAAAAGACATAAAAGACAAATTTTGGAAAAAATTGTTACTAGTCACAGAAGAATCTAGAAATAACAATTGTAAAAGAATGCTCGACTTCAGTATATTACATTACCTAATAATAAGAAACATTTTTTAAACACATACAATATACATAAAGTTAAAAGTAGGGATAAAAATACTAATAATAATACTAATTGAAAGATAGAACAAAAAAATGGTGCTGGATACCATTTTTTAGTCGGGTCAAAATTTAAAGATTATACAGAAACCGAATAAAGTAAGTAAAATAAAGAAAGCTGAAGCAATAAGGTATCAAAAACTTTGATAAATATAATGAAACCACAGAAAATATGAATAATGAGCAGATATAGACATACTTTAAAAACATAGTAAATAAATAAAACGGCGAAAAAATATGTGGAGTGAGTTCAAATCTGCGTGGTGGACGGACGAAATTAAAAAAACAAATCAAAGTAAGAAAAAACAACATGGAAAAATTACATTGCAGGGATTGATTATGGCATGGGTAGCATTTATTTTTGGAGAACGCAAATTGAGCACAAACGAGAAAAAATGAGCATTAACGAGAAATTTCCGAGAGTTTTAACAGGCTGTTAATAACAGCATAGCAGAATTAGGCCATTGAACGTTTTTTGTTAATGTTTCTTATTTTTTTTCTTTATTCTAAATATTCTGATTTTTCACATGAGAAGATTCTCAATTTTCCAAATATTCTTGGGAAGTTTCGTCAATATTTTTACAGGTGTTTTTGTTAACTGTTTAATCGAATCAATAAAAAACATACTAATAACAATAAAGTGTTTGAGGGGATTTTAAATTGTAGCTTTAAGCTTCGTACAGACCTGAACATTGAGCCGAACAACAAGCAGAACAACGAACCGAACGGCAAACAGAACGGCAAATGGCCTTTTTTGATTTCGACGATCCGAACAACAAACGGAACGTTCGTGCTGTTCCCATAATTGCTCGTAGTAAATCTCAGTTAAAGTTTTACTAAAGATGGAAAAAAGTGTAGCAGCAGCAGCTTATATATTTATTCATTATTCATTATTAAATCAAAAGAAAAAATGGTGTGGGTGTTTTGGTTTCCACAACTCTTTTTTTTTTTTGATAAATATCAATTAGATCCAGAGATTTTTCTTCTGTCCACTCCATTTACTTGTGTTAAATTTTAATTATATTAAAATAAACAAACCTACTTAAAGGAGGAGACAAATAAACACTTAAATGAGAACAATTCACTGGTTTGTTCGCCGTTTTGTTTTGACCCGTCCAAACCTCCGAACGCATTCGCGAGCATTTCCTTTGATGTCGAAGGAAAAACCGACAAGTGATGGGAACGGGACGAACCGTTCGCCGAACGGTCAGGATTCGCGAACATGTTCGCAAACGCGTTCGCAGCCCCGTCCAAATTAGTGTTCTGTTTGCCGTTCGGTTCGTTGTTCGGCTTGTTGTTCGGCTCAATGCTCAAGTCTGTACGAGGCTTAATAAAATGTTGTATGCCATTCTGGGCTTTTTATGCCCAGCACAGTAGGTTTTTTACTTTTCAAACCGTTTAAAGCATATATGTTCTAAAAAAAATTGTACGTGTAATACGTCGTACATTTTTGAGAATATTGAAGTAAAAAAAGATGATGTTTAATAGAAACATCTTCGTTGCCGCATAACTAAAAATGCTAATACAACTGAGCTTCCTTATTAGGGTGGGCCGATTTTAATATTTTTCAAATATCAAATTGTGCAATGGTGGAAGTTGTGCATTTATAAGGCCAGAAAAATAATATAAGAGTTTTTTTTTAATTTTAATTTCTTAAACTGCCGCCTTGAAAGATGTAAGTATCGTTATAAATACGAACAAAATTATCTGAGAAAATAGGGTTAAAAAAAGTTTTGAATGATAAATATTTATTAAAAAAAACAAAAATAAAAATGAATTTATCATCAACACAAATTTAATTCAATTTATAATCCTGTTTTACCTGCCATTTTTCACAAAAACCCAAAAACCACAAACAGATACTACTTGTAAAAATTTCTATTATTCAACTAATTGACGATGTCAAAATATTATAATTTATTTAACAGTGAAGCCAACTGTCAACTGTCCTACGTCAAACACGAAAATCTTAAAAAATATTTTTCTTACTACCTCGACTCAAAATACGTTGTTTCGTCCCCGATTTCACGGCAGAAAGTTTACGTTTCTTGCATTGGTCAAGCTATACGCGCACACTCTAATAGCGGGAGTAAAAATTTTTTAGTCGCGTGCTTCACATTTAAATTTCGTACTGCCAACATGAGAAACACAAAAATATGACAGTTTTAAACCATAATTTTGCAATTATAACAACAAATAAACAATTTATGTTTTTACTTTTTTACTTTTTATGTTGTTTTAAGTGTTTAATGGTACTTTTATTTGTTATAAAGTAGTAATTTGTTAATTAAAATACAACCTTTTATTTTTACTGTATTGGCACCGCTGAATTACCATGACAACGCTACAGTTTGATTGATTTTGAATGTAAACGTCAGAAATAAATTAAACGTCAGATTTTAATTTTGACACAAATTTTTTTATATACATTTAATTTTTTCCCGTATTTTCTGCAGGGTAGTAAGAAAAATAGTATACACTACACGGGCAGAAAGTGTGAGAGTCCTGAACTGCGCGCCATGATGCCCTCGGCTTCGCCTCGGGCATCATGGCGCGCAGTGCAGGAATCTCACACTTTCTGCCCTTGTAGTGTAATATACTATTTCTTACTACCTCGACTCAAAATACGTTGTTTCGTCCCCGATTTCAAGGCAGAAAGTTTACGTTTCTTGCATTGGTCAAGCTATACGCGCACACTCTAATAGCGGGAGTAAAAATTTTCGTGTGCTTAACATTCAAATTTCGTACTGCCAACATGAGAAACACAAAAATATGACAGTTTTAAACCATAATTTTGCAATTATAACAACAAATAAACAATTTATGTTTTTACTTTTTTACTTTTTATGTTGTTTTAAGTGTTTAATGGTACTTTTATTTGTTATAAAGTAGTAATTTGTTAATTAAAATACAACCTTTTATTTTTACTGTATTGGCACCGCTGAATTACCATGACAACGCTACAGTTTGATTGATTTTGAATGTAAACGTCAGAATTAAATTAAACGTCAGATTTTAATTTTGACACAAGTTTTTTTATATACATTTAATTTTTTCCCGTATTTTCTGCGGGGTAGCAAGAAAAATAGTATACACTACACGGGCAGAAAGTGTGAGAGCCCTAAACTGCGCGCCATGTTCATGGCGCGCAGTGCAGGAATCTCACACTTTCTGCCCTTGTAGTGTAATATACTATATTCTCCATTTTACGCCGTCTCTCCAATAATTGCAATTATTGCAAAATTTAAAATTTTGACAGTTCAAAACATTAAAAAAGAAAAAAAATATTAAAGGAAAATAGTTTACTTTCCTATTTCACAACTTTCCCGCTTATGAATAATTTTAAATTTTTAAAAATTACTTTTAAATTTTTAGAGGCGTTGCGGCAGTTCAAAACATATAGATATAAAAAAAATATTTTGCAAAAAATGTTTATTTTCCTATTTCACAATTTTTTCTTAAATGCAGAATTTAATATTTTTAAATTTTAGAAGTTAATAAAAATCGGCCCACCCTATTCCTTATCTACAAACTTGTGTTAAAATAGCTTAAAAATCCGTGTGTACTAGCCTTAAGTTTGGTCTTGAGATCGCTAATGTAGGCCTCCCTCTTCTCGGTGTGCACCTCGAGCTTCTTCTCCAGCGCGTCCTTCGTCTGCGAAATGAACTGCGTGGTGTGCTCGTCCCTTTTGCGCGACGCCTCCTCGATCTTGCCCATCTTCGCCGTCAGCGCGGCGATTTTGTTCGACTCGATCTGCAGGCGACGTTCCTCGGCCGCCTTCAGCTTGTCCTCGATGTCCTGCACGGACACGCTGTTCTTCGGCGAGAGCTGCTTCTTCGGCGGCGGGGTGGCTTTAGCGTCCGACTCGCCCAGGATCACCTCGTAGCGGAGACCGCCGCGAGTTTTTTCCTGGCATCTTACCTCGGTAGCTGCAATGCAGAAAAAAGACAATTACTTTAGGTTAATGCTTTATTCATCTTTACAATAATACAGGAGCTTAAAAATAAGCCATATTATATACAGGGATGGTAATGTGCTCTTAGGCCGTTTAATAAAAAAAGACAAATGCATTATGAGACATGGGAGTGGTGGAGTGAAGTAATAGTGGTGGGGCAGGCCAGACCGCGCCGCGCCAGGGCTGGATGCTCCCGTGTACGAGTTTTGGTTCATGCCGCGCATGACGTCACTTGATGAGTAGTTGCCGTGCGAATACACGAATAATAGTAATATTATCAAAGGAAATAGAGAAATATCTGGACATAGTGCGTTTTTATTAAACTTAATATTGAAAAAAGTGTTATAATATGGATAATAGATGCTTTTAGTCCTTGATAACATTTAGGGCTGTAGTTTAAGCCTTGGTGTTTTAAATTAAACTTATAGCCACTGTCCAGAAAATGTTTATAGGAAACAGAAGCGGTCTTAACGTTAATATTGCCTATTCTTTTTGTGGCATTTAACCACTGTTTCCACAAATCAAAGTTTTTCGGGAATCGATTAAATTTAATGTTTTTATTTAAAGGGTTTTTCTTGGACTGGTTGTCGGTATTGCATCCAAATATGCCACACCGCATTTTAATAAATGCAAATGGTACGACACAAACTAAAACACAAACAAAACAAGTTAACGCAACACAAAAACAGTAATAAACAAACAGAACAGGTTAACACAACGCAATAACAATAATTTGAACACTGAAAAGTAATTCGAACCTTACCGAAAGCAAAAACAACAAGTTAAACAAAAAATAGAGCAAGTTAACATCCAACAGCATCGCAAAAACAAGAATTTTAGCAGCAGATAATTAAAAAGCACGTTAAAGATTTAAAAACACTCATCAAGTGACATATTTAAGCCCCGCCCAACATGCGCACCATCCTATCTTAAGGTGTATGTATCTTGGTGGGATTGTAAAGCAGTTAGAGGAGGGGAAGTAAAACATTGGCGGACGTTTAATTGTTTTGATTTAATCGTTATAAAAACTTGTACTGCACGCTTATGGCAGAGGGGAAATAAGTATTTTGTTATCCTATTCGTTCAACAATGGTTGTTTGTCTCTCTTATTTATACGTTTATCTCACTTATTCGTACGTTTCGTATAGCATGCATATTTGTTTATTAAACGGCCTAAGAGCCCATTACCATCCCTTTATATATATTTATATATATGTTCTGCTTTGCTTTAGGTTTCCACGGGCGTTATATGTATTAATGGTTTTCCGGGATCTGCTCCGTGTTGTCGGTTTCGGTACAGTCTCATGTACCATCTTCAAGTCTTATCTACTGGGCTGATGTTGCTGCTCTGCTGCGAGTTAGACTTGGAGTGAGCTCCGTTGCCGCTGATCATTGTTTATATACCCTCTTAGCTTTCCGCGTCATTAGCCGTGACTGCGATTGAACCTGTGTTATGTTCGGCTCCTGTGTATCGTCTCTCGTGTTGAGGTCTCTTGGACGCTTTTCTATTTTAATGGCTTCACGGATGGTACGTTTGGTCCTGAGTTCGATGGTAGCCAAGACCCTTGATTTTTCAAAGACAATTTCATGAGAAGTTTTTCGGACATGTTCAGCTAAGGAAGATGTTTTTTCTTGTTTTAAGACTGCGTTACGATGTTCTTCGCGTCGAACGTTGATACGTCTATTGGTCTGTCCCACGTAGCTTCCGTCACATTTCTTACTAGGAATTTCGTACAACTCTTGGTTTGGCCTTTGATAGTATTTGACCGACCTTTCTTGGGGCGGTAAGGCTCTTAGACCACGACGCCGGTTAAATACCACAGAGGATGAGAACAAACCAACTTCGAAGGCCTTTCTTCCCTACGTCAAAGGGACAACCGAGAGAATAGGCAAAGTTCTCAAAAAACATAACATTGAGACCATACTTACCGCCCCAAGAAAGATCGGTTAAATACTTCCAAACGCTTTTAAAGCTATCGAAATCAATATTTTTAATTTCTGGGAGTAGGCTGTTAAAATATTGCATACCCTTTTTTATATCCATTTTGACCGATTTTTAGTTTATTACAAGGAGTATAAATGACCTTTATGTCTGATATTATGGGAGACTTCCATTGGGAGTGTATATTATTGACTTTAATTTAATGTAGAATATTTTGTTTAGAAATCAAAATAACATTAAGAATGTATAGGCCAGGTAAAGTAAAATATAATAACATAACATTTTGGCATTTTGACAAATGTTCCGTTCATTAGATAAGCTAAAATTCTATCAAATAAAGAATTGCTTTTTAATAATTATTATTAGCCTTAAAAACTAGCGTTATTATATTTATATCATACTTTCTGGAAATAAGTTATGTAAATGTCGCTTAGCAATAATTCCCAGCGAGTTTAATCATAATAACATATAAGATTTATAAAAACATAATAGGTATTTTGCTCGATTTTACTATTACAAATACTGTGTAATATTTGCTATCAATAAATATATTTAAAATATATGTCACCAACTTCAGAAGAATGGGATAAATCATTTCATTACATTTATGTATTTTTCAATCGTATAATAATTCTAATATTATAACATAAGTCTATACCTATAGAAAGACTTCATAATAATAATATACGAGTATTCAAAAGTCTAATTAATATTAAACTTTGTACAAAAATAAAGCTAAAATGTCATCATCTTAGTTGAAACTAACCTAAAAATATGACTAAGAATTAATTTAATTAAATGCTTGAAAAAAATATAATATAAAACCCCAATCAAATTTTAAAATGTTGTACCCCGGGAAGATTTTTTCCTAAAGGGTCAAAATTAAAGAAATTAATTTTTGATACTTTGGTAATTTTCACATGCTGAATCTAGATCTAAACTGTGAAAAATTAAATCATAGGCGTAAAATATAAAAAAATAAATATAATATAAAAGGTAGTTTTTATTTGCATCGCCCAGATGCACCATTTTCGAGAAAAATGCACTCAAATAAATTACTCTGTTATATTAGTAGCAACCCCCGTTAATTAAACGTTTTTAAAATGCACGATACCTTTTTTAGTGAAAAGCTCCAAATTGACATAATTTGAAAAAATTTAGAACATTATCACAGAAAAAAGTTGGTTCTGTTTTAGTAAGCTATGTTATGCTCAGGGAAAAAAATCATCCTCAGGACTCTCTTCAGGGCCATAGCTCCGTCAGGGGGCATTTTTTGATACAGGTTAACAAAACAAATTAGTGTTGTTTCTATGCAAATAGCACTGTTATACGCTGTATATGATAAATATGATAAATTTACGAGGGTCCAAATTTAAAAAAGTTTTGCAAAAATGGCGAATGCGCCGGGATACAGTTGTATACATGGTAAAAATATTCTAACGATAATAATAATAATAATAATAATAATAGTTATACAATGCATCAAGAACCAACATCTTAATTGTATAATATTATTACAATTTTCAAAATAAATCACTATATATATTACCTATCAAGTTTGTTAAACGCCATTTTAACAAGTGACAAGTGTGTAATTAAATGAGTGTTTAGAAATATTATAAACGAGAGGCTTTTTTACGACAAATACTTATTATTGTCTAAAAATGATTGAAATTAAATATTGGTATATAGCGACATGCATAAAACAATAGTTAGTAACTTGGGAATCTGTATTACCGGTCAAAATGTCAAATTTATATGTGTAAATCAAAATATATCCCGTGAAAATAGACTAACCACCGGTTAAATCCGATATAAAACCAGTTTTTCACAGTAAAAGAAAGATAATGTTGTATGGGCAGTCCACGTAATGTCTCCAACCGAAATTTTTAATAGTTAATCAGTTAAATCAACTAATTATTTGATTGATTTTTAGTAAAAAAATCTTTGAATTATAAATGATACAAAGATAATTAAATAATTTGTTTATCTACGAGTATATTAAGGTATAACTTTTTTAGTATGACCGGTCACAAAATTTTCATATATTTGAATAATTAAAGCCTACTAAACTAAAATTATTTTATAACCACTTTTGGCATTAGCATTACTGGCCAAATTTTATTATTTTAATGAACCATCAAAACTCGCGAATTAAACTTTTATATAACAATTAAGCGTTTTAAAAGCTAAATATTTTACGAGACCGGCATTTTAATACAATTTTCCCTCTAAAATAATGTCGTAAAGCTTTGAAACAAACTCCGCCGGCGTCCATAAATGTCAGGGGTTTTTAGGTTTAATTTCATTTTTGAAGGGTTTCCAGGTGAGTGTACGGGTAGGGGCATATTTTCCTCCATTTATTCATTTAATTTCCACCGCATTTCTCTTTAAGGGGTTACATACAGTTAGAATTTTTTTTTATTTTATTTTCTTAATGTACATATATTTAAGAATACACACAGAAAATTTTATATCGTTCCGGTGAATATTTTCAAAGTTACACGAAAATTTGAAAAGGCGTTTCAGAGTGCTTGGAAGTACAAGGCCGGAGCGGCAGCGACTACCCTTTTATGCACCTGCCTTGTAAATGCTCCCTTCTAATGTATTTAGATGTGTAAATCAACAGTGTGAACAGGGTGTATTATATGGGCCTGGAATAGACGACTCCATGTAAGTTAAAAAATAATAAAAATTGATCCCATGTAAACTGCATTCCAAACTTTCAACGCGTTTTTCTCTGAATGGTGTTTTCAATCAAAGTCGGTGACCAACATTACTCGAAAAGGGCTAAACCGATTAGTCTCAAATTTTAACACGAGCTTCTTAAATATATTTTTTAGTAATTAATCGAAGATTTTTTCTCTCCGATAAATATTTTTGTTTTTATAAACAATTTAAGGCCGAAATTTCGGTAAAAAATCGATTTTTTTTTGAGAAACCGCCATTTTGTCAAAAAATTTTATTTTGCTGATTCCTTCGATTAATTACTAGATTTAACATTACTTTAACGAAATCTGTTTGGTTTTTTAAATTCAGATGATCCAGTTCAGAGATATAGTGGTCACCGCAAAACGTCTTTTTTGAGAGGAGCATCCGGAGATCAGCTGTAGCTCTTTTCCAAATAAATATTTTTACTAGTACTAAGTCTTAAAATATAGTTAAAAGATACCATAATATGTGTATAAATTTTTGGATCAATAAATTTAAAAGTTTTCTCAGAAAAACTTCTGGAAAATTCACTTTTTTTCGGCCTTCTAACTGTATATAACCCCTTAAACCAGACGTACGAGCGCCACATGTACCAGTCTAAAAATAAGCATATTTCGTGCTACCCCGGCGTATAGTCAGAAAAAATAGTTATGTAATTTACCAATTTTTGTAAAATGTAACATTTATGAAATTTTGATATATTACATATATGAAATATTATTTTAAAACTAAAATAGAATATACTAACAACTACCCAAACTGTATAATTAATGTATTAAATAACCAAAAACTCTTTTAAAATGTCAAATTATAGAACTTTCTAAAATGACCCATACAGAATAAGAACCAAAAATATATGCCATAAATTCTTCAAAAACTCTTTTTATTCGAAGATATTAATATTTAAAAACAGTCATTCCAAATAAAAAACCAAATAGGGTGCCCTGCGTGATTTCTTATTTTGATGTATTTTTGAAGCAAAAAATGCCATATTTTTGCAAAATACAAGGCCTGATATGTCCGTTTTTAAGAGTAAATTTTTAAGAATTCATATTAGCGAATTTTTAAACAAAATCTAAGCACGACCCTATACTACATTTTATTGAAAAATTTTAAGTAGACAAATAATAACTACAAAAATTTATTTTGTCAAGTTATCCATGAAAAAAACATTAAATAAAATTAAAATAATAGTAACATGGTACTATTACTATAAGTTTCATTTTATTTCAATGTTTTTTTTCATGGATAACATGACATAATAAATTTTTGTAGTTTTTATTGTGCATTTTTCTACTTAAAAATAAAAATTATAATAAAATTTAGTAAAGGGTAGTTTTAAGAGTTGGTGAATCCAGTGCCGTGTTTGGATTTTGTTTAAAAAAATCGCTAATATGAATTCTTAAAAATTTACTCTTAAAAACTGACATAGTAGGCCTTGTATTTTGTACTAATATGGCGTCTTTTCCTCCAAAAATACAGTTTATCAAGATTTACCTATACTTTAAAACAAATCCGGTTAAAATCGCACAATAAATAAAGATTTTACAGGGGTGAGTCGCAAACAAATGGGTCACACTGTATAAAATAATACCTTTGTCAGAACTGTCACAAATATTTCATAATTATGGTGATTTTTGTATATAACATAATATGACATTATGTATACAAAATTCGCCAGATAAATCGCACAAATAATATTTATGGGATATTTTTGACAGTCCTGACATTTCTCTACCAAACATGATTTGACATCAAAGCCATCTTAATAATTAATAAAATTATTTTAAGTTATAAATTTTTATTTAATATAAATATTTATTTAATATAAGAATACCGTAACTGGCATAAAAAAATATTATGTATTTAAGGGATAAAAATAACAATACTAACTGGACTGAAAAGATGAAGGGGGGACTACTTTATTATTATTTATTACAAATCTTTAGTGGTTTACCATTCTTTTATAGGATAAACTAATTAGATAATAATAATAAATATTTAAACCATACCTACTAGGCAGTAAAATAAAATCATTTTAATAATTGCCACAGAAAAAGTTTTAGCCTCTTATAATATAGTAAGAAAATGACACGATTAAAGGGAGCTGATTATAAGTAAAGCAACTAAAATTTAAAACGGCAACGGTTTTTTTATTTATGATACCTAAAAGATTTTCCTCAAATTTTTTCATTAAAATAAAAAATCATGCAGAGCACTTTTAAATTCATTTTTGGTTTTTCATTTGAATTTACTCAAAATATATTTTTTTTACATTTTAGACCATGTCCATAACAATTTTTTTATTTTTAAAAACTGGTTAAGATTTTCAAAAATGTTAGAAACTGTCTAAACTGTTACGTTTTATATTTTATATTTTCATTATAAAATCTTTGTAAATCAATGTTATTTATAAGCAATTATTAACAGAATAGCGAGTTTTAAATAAAGAAGGAAAAACTTTAAAAATATATGAACGTAATTTCAAAAAAATTTAAACGATATACCAATCAATCGCCGTTTTCTGCATTGCAGTAATTCCTTCTTTTACCACACAAATTGTGGCAAGATTCCAGCAAAATTACCATAACCATTTTTACTTATAAGACCAGATTTGCTAACAAATCTAGATCAATACGTTTTAAGTGCTTTAAATTAATTATAAATTCTCAAAGTAATAAAATCTCTAGCAACCACTTGTTCATTCCAGAGGAGGCGTGATGAAATTCGAGCCCAGATTCTCAATGAATCCATTCAAAGGAAAATGAAAAATCCGTGTTGCCAAAAACACCAAACAATACATCGCATCCCAACAAACGAAGTTACCATTAAACAAAGTTCTTTGTTTAAGTCAAAGTGAACAGTGTTTCTTTTTACACCTAATTTATTTACCACTACTCATAAAAACACAAATTGACCCTCGTGTCGTCGATTTGGCAACGTGTAAATTGAGTCGCTTTCCCCTTGAAAAGTGAAGACGGACGAATGTGGCCAGGACGAGGGTGAGAAAATCGATTTTTATTTATCTTGCCGTCGGTCTTTTTATTACACGTCTTATATCTAATAAACTTTTTTTTGGCCGGCAAAGATAGCCAAGATATTGATAGAAACTGTTTAGTTGGAAAAGCAGGAAAGATTATGGAAGAGAATGAAAATAGATATTACACAATGTCAAAGAAAAGTAATCCATTTGCTAAAATATACAGGGTATTTTAGAAAAGTGAAAAGAATTAAAATTAATAAAAAATGTAATTATATTATCAATACAAAAATATTTCTTTATTGAAAAATACACATAATCGTTGGGATTCGTAAAAGGGATGGTTTAATTTGACCATTATTTGCTGCAGGACAGCTTAATACTTGCACGGACATTTGGTGCGTACCATATACGGAAGAAAATTTTTATCGAAGCAAACAATCGCGGCTTGATAATAAGACGCGACATACTTTATCCTACCTAAAATGTATTACTATCGTGACGTTTTATTTAGCAAAGAAGTGCCCACAGAAAGTTCTCTTGTCTTGAAACCTGCCTCTTCAAAAACTCGTTACCTAATATGGAAACGATCAGGAAGTGAACTCGATGACTCACAATGCCACCGAATGCACAAAGAAAACCTTAGTTTAGTTGTAAAGATACATTAAAAATATCAAAAAAAATTTTAAGAAAAACTATTTACTTGCAATTTGTTTCTGATTTTTTTTCTATAGGGTTTTTCAGCATTAAGAAGCATTTTTAAATATTAGGATTTTGGTTTAATGTTAAAAATATTCCTAGAATTTTTCTATTTTTTGGTTTAGTTCCGGCATTTTATGCAAGAAATTGGGATATAGACAATACCTAACATTTTTAAAGCTTTACATATCAAAAACTGATGTAAGTTATCAGATCGTTGAAATTGTTGGAAAGTGTGAACCAAGCTGTGAACACTTTCATGCATAATTTAATTATAAATGATATAATTCTAAATAATAGACCTCACATTCCAGGCTTGTCACTTTAACAACCAAATGCAAAACAAACCATTATTGTATTCTAATATTGAAACCGACGTATTTAATTCAAAAACATACAAAACAAACTTATAAAGTTGACAATGACAGTACGGTTCAAACTTTGCTGACTTTTAATATGGTTTTACCTTAAAAATGTTATTTTTTTACAAACTAAATATAATAATAAAAATTATTAAATAACGTCTACAACAATTTTGTAAAAAAATCCAATTACCAGTTCTTGGTTTCGAGGCAATTTAAAAGCAAAAAATATAATAAACTTCCCACTTTAATCCTTATTTCAAATGCAGATAATTAAAAACGTAAGACAATGCATTCTTCTTCTATAGAGAATGGAGAGTTCTTTTTAGACCATTTGCTTTTTCTTTTATTTTTCACAGTAATTTCCTGCAAAATGGCAATTTGCTGTAAAAAATCTAAAAAAGCTACTAATTGCATTTCTAAAAAACGTGATTAAAAAAAAAACAGAATAAGCGGAATAATTAATTTATTAAAATACAAAAATAAAAAATAGAAACACAACACCAACTTTTTTTACTTACTAACAAATTGTACTCTTCTAGGTTGATTGGTCCTTGGTTTCGTTTTAACTTTAGTGATTGGAATGTGTCTTCCTATTACTGAAAGTATTATTTTTGGTTTAACATATTATCGAAATTTTGTTTTAACAACCTTTGTGAAAATACATCATGATATTGGAAAAAAACATTTTATATGATTTTTGTTTAAATTGAAACATTCTTAAGAAAGTGGCCTCAAAGACTCGCATATTATTAATTTCCTCTTTTTTGTTTTAATATTTTTAACCAATAGAATTGAACGCTGTTCTAAACTTATGTGTGTTTATTCTCAGATTTAATCATTTATTTATAAAATTTAATACAAAAGCCTAATTAAGTATGTACATTTTAGCATAGGATCCTTTAATAAAACTTTTTTATTAATATTGAAGAGAAGTTGAAATGAGATTTATTTAAAAAATCAAATATACAGGGTGGCTCACTAAAAACAGTCCAGCAAGGTTTACGGATTTGTATGTAAAAATAAAAAAATCTTCGGACCCGTATACTTTCGTTTTCAGGGGGATATATTTACATACTAATTTCAGGAATGTAACTTTAACCCCTTAGCGGGGGCGGAATTCACCCTTATTTTTTAAATGGGTATGTTGTGATACATCCTTTGAAAATTTTCCAATTATGTGATCACCAAAAATACCAGGATGTTGAGTATGAACCTCATGGATCAATAACGACAATTATGGCCATTGAGAAATAATTAACATTCGTCTTAGAAGCAAACATTAAAAAGGTATGGGAGTATTTATAATTATTTCCTACATTATTTTACAAAATTTTTACGGCGGCCATTATGATGTATGTACATGCAATTCTTGAAGAAGTTGAATTTTCTATGGGTGACATTTATTATTTTTTAGAATTCTCTGTACGGTCCCCCGCGAAACTCCTGTTACATCAGAAAGTTTACTGGTGCAGCCATTCCACGTTACTCGGGAATTTTTGTAGCGTCCGTTACAATCAAAAATTGTGAGTAAAACTACCGTAATTATGATGCTTATAAGCTTAAGCCTAATTATTACAAGCATAATAAACATGTTTGTAATAGTATTTAATTTAATTACAGTAGCTGTTACTCACAATTTTTTATTGTAACGGACGCTACAAAAGTTCCCGAGTAGCGTGGAATGGCTGGGTACTTAATGTACTCTCTTAAAATGAATTAGACAAAAATAACTAATTATAAGTCATATTTGACTAATTGTCATAGCGAAAAAGCAGACACTAATAACTAGTCAAATTCTACTGAATGAAATAGTCAAATTAGTAGATTTAAATTTAAAAAAAGCTTGTCAAGCTGTTGTCATAACCCATTCGGCCATCAGCCGCTCTTATAAAAATCAATTTTATTTGTCAATAAATATTGTTCATAATATTTTAAAGTTGAATATATTTTTTGTGTTGCTGTTTTGAGCTAAACTTTTTGCATCTTTATTTGTTTTTATGGGTCATTTAACCATTTAATTCAAATAATACTTTGTTGTTGGCCGCAAACGATTAAAGAAATTAGTTACTTTTAACTCTCAGAAATTGTCAAAGATGGTGACTAATCTTAAATTAGTCTAACTTTAAATATTTACGTAGTAAAAAATAACTATTTAAAAGTGAAAACGACTATTTTATTCGTAAAAAATGCTAGTAATAATTCAAATAGTAAAATTTTGACTATTTCATTTTTAGAGAGTAGGGTCCAAAGTAATTTCAGCCAGAACAGCTACTTCTACTGCCCCATTTCTCACCAGATTTTTAATATCTCGTTTTTTATTTGCGACTAAACCAGTTTGCAGGTTTGCTACTAATTATAGGATGTAACCATGATTTAAGTGTCTATTTGCAAGCCTCTCATTAAACAAAGTTACAATTCAATAAAAAAAATGAAAAAGTAAGGGTGAATGCTACCCCCGCTAAGGGATTGAAGTGATGAAATTATTATGTAAACCCTTGAAAACAAGTATACGGATTCGAAGATTTTTTTTATTTTTACATACAATAATAATAATAATAATACATAATTTTATAATTTTAAAGAATACAAAATTAGGTTTTAACTGAAACATAATGACAAAAGTTTTTAAACCAATATCAAATAAACTATTCATTGAAAAATTAATCAATATATATATGACATTTCAAATTGTCTGGATATTTTATTACTCTATTTCCTACCATGTCCTACCATTCGTCAGTTTTAATGTATTACGTCATCCGGGGTTTACTGTAAAACTTTTACAGCATTCGCCCAGTAACAGCAAGTCGGGGCGATGACTCATCCGGGAGAGAGGAATAGAAAAGGAGAGTGAAACCGCCACCCTTACTCCAACAGAAGGTGAAAGGAGAAAGAATAAAGAAACTTCCAAAATTTGCGACAAATAATCCAATCAAAACTGTCATCAATAAACGTTAAAACCGCATAAGATCTTAATCTATCCGTAATATTTTGTCGTGTTTACTTGTCATCCCCTTGAATTCCCGGATTCCAGACGCGAAGCCAGACGCGATGTCGCGTTCGATCAAAGAAAGGATCGTCGCGGTTGGGAGAAGGAGCAGGATGCGAGGATAGAGAAGAAGGGACGAGCCAAATTGGATTTCCTTTCGCCCCCATACGTTCGGGTTGATCGTGCTCGCCTTCGTAACAGACGGTCGGGGTCCGCGTTCAACAGTGCGACATTTTACTGATAAAAATTACCAGTGTTTTTTAGAACAAAATTACTCATGAGCTTTTTTGCTTGGTAAAATTGGGTAGAAAAGGGATTGCATCCTATTTTTTATAGTTTTTAAGTATTAAGGTACCCGTCATGACGGTTTTCTTCTAAAGTTTGTTTTTATTATTATTTTATAGTAATGGGTTGAAAACATAGAGAAATAAAAGTTTAAAATTTAATATACTATTTCAGAAATAGTTAAAGTTGTTTTAATAAGATTAAAATTTGGTGTCTTAATTTTGTTTACATTAAATTAAAAAATAAATGATTTAGAATTCGCATATATGCTATAGTGCACCAGTGACTTTTCATATAAAAAGTAGTTATTACTCAAGCTTTTGACTTTATAATCGATTTTTGTTTTTTCACCCCACATTAAAAATTTCGATTATAAAAACATAGTAAATTTTAAAAATTAGTCTTACGTTAAAAATTTGGAAAATTTAAAATTAGATTTTAAAAATTGTACATTTTTTACCGATTGCGTTTCTAAATTTGGCATACCCAAAAACCTAAAAGTAAGGTTAAACTTCACTCTGTATAATTTTGCAAAAACATGTCATTTCTTTAGGTAATACACGAACTACTCATTTTATACACACAAATTATAAAAAATAATGGTATTTTAAATAGAAATATGAATTTACTTAAAAGCATATTATTAATGAATGAACTATACACAAATGTGTGTTAAATAATTTTTGACCCTAATTTCTAAACACTCTGTATAAGCTAGAGTAACAAAACTAGGCGAATGTGTACTTCATGAAGTACCAAAAAAAATACATAATGTTTTTGCAAAATCTTTGGTACAATTTATACATAGTGCTTAAAAAATTTATTAGGTTTTTGGGTATGTCAAATTTAGAAACGCTATCTGTTTTTAAATTTAAAAATGCTTAATAAGACCTTCTGTTAATCATAGAATGCCATGGAAATGACATGACGATGTTTTTTTTATACGAGTTAAAACTAAAAACATTTTTTTTAAATCGAGTTATTTTTAAATAAATACCAAATTGGCGACAATCAAAATAAAACACCGTATATAAAGACTTTATATTAATACTAATTAAAAAGACAAAATAAAGCTCAAATGTCATCATGTCAGTTGAACCTAACCTAAAAATGATGTGAAATCACAGAATATTCCAATTATGTGTTAAAAAAATGGAATATAAAACACGGAGGCGAAAGGTTATTAATTGCCTCGCACACCATCTACTGCCTCGGCTAGCGCCTCGGGTTGGAAATGTTTGCTATAATATGAGCTTTTTCCGCCTGGTCTATAATGTATTATTAAAATTCTCTAATATACCATTAAGATTTTAAATTAATATATTGGTCAGTTTTAGGCTGCCCTGTTTTTTTTTTAAATATTTTTTGTTGAAAAATTGCAAATATTTTATTATATTTGCAAAAACATCTCACTGTGCAACCATTATGAGGGAGTGAAACCGTTCCGGGAACCTCCTAACCCGGAATTCCCGCCGCATAGGTTCAATGTTCTTTTTGGGATAAACGTATTGCAGATTTCAAAGCAAAATATTTGTATAAAAATTTCAAAATAAATTTGTTATTTGGAAAATCCTGTAAAAATACAATCTATCTTTGTTGCACAAAAAAATTAGGGTTATTTAGAACATATAGTTTTAACTGTGGTAGGACTTTATGTATATGAAATTAGTTTACCAAAGTATTTACAATCAATGTCTAAACTATCTAGTTTTAAAAGTTACTTGGTAGAGGTAGAACCACATGTTTTAACATATAACATACAATACAATAACCCAATGGCTTTCAATTACTTATGTTCGACTATATTTCGCTCTAATTGTATTTCTTGTATCTACACTTATTTCCGAAATAAACACTATTATTATTATTAAAATAATAAATATCTAAAATACTAAAAATAGGTTGTTTTGAAACTCCATTAACCAGTATTATCAATAATTTATATTTGTACATAACATTTCGCAAACACATATTTAATACAAAACTGTTATTAAAACAGAAAAAACAATTTTCTGTCCGACATTTACCCACCTAATTTTTAATTCATTAAGTAAAAGCCGACAGTTTTCCTGGCGCCAGTCAATCGTAAAAAATATTTGATATTCCAGGCAAACACAGCGCACAAGTTTAGATTACAGTTTGGTTGTAATTACGGAAAAAAATGAAATTTATTAAGGACAGACACGCAATTTCTAAAACGTTACGTCGACACTGTCGTTCATTGGTTTTTGTATTTTCGGGTAATTTATTAGTCTATCCCTAACATCCATACACACTTTTCGTCACCAAATCTTGTTTAATCTTAATCTTAATTTAGAATCTCCCTGTGTATTATAGTAACTTAAGTAATTATTGCATACTAACGACTATTTATGCCAATACTAAGTACATAGATTGGTAAATATACTTTCTCACGTAAAAAATACCAATTGACCACATTTCATTTTTTCTTCATACTGGAAAAACCAGTTAGATGATACCTAAGGTAAAGAGAAAATGCTCGAGTAATCTTCCTTTTAAAATCATAGAAAATGAAAACAATTTCACTTTTACTGGATAAGATATTTTTTACTAATAAGGCCTAATTATCTGGTTGTATACACAATAAAGAAATGAATTACTGTATTTTTCACAAGGTTGTCAAAATTGCAGAGATGTTTGTGAGTTAAATGCAGTTTTAATAAATAGTTTATAAAAATACTTAAATAACCAATTTTAAAGTTCATCAGTTTTCTACGTTAAAGTGACTTATAAATAAACCGTACTAATGCGAAATCGATACCGAATATAACAAATCGGTCAGGGAAATACAAAGAAAATATCAGCATATTTAGTAAAATTTTTCAACTATTTTTTATTGTGCAAGGTTGAATATAAAATTATAAAGAACATGTATTGCAATACAATAAAAAAAATTTAAACTATCACTTTAAAAGTAAAAGAAAAATTATTGAATATTTAACAAAATCGAGAACAAAATCTAATTTTAAATATTAAATAAAAACATTTCAACATAAAAAACAATAAATTATATGCAGAACATGCGATAATTTTGCGAAGGTCAGTAACAACCTTGTAAAACTTTTGATTTGCTTAGATTTTGTAATTTATTTCCTCTAACCAGGCTTAACACAAAAACTTGAAAAAATGGCGAATGCACCGGGGTTAATTAAAAAGTTTCAAGTTTGCTTCTTCATGTTCATGTTTAACTTAATATTTACGTTAATATTTTATACTTTGATTAAAAGTAGTTAGAAAAGTTAACAGTGTAATTAAGTTTTACTTTAAAGTTCTTATAAGACTGTAATTTTAAAGTTTGACTGTTTTAACAAGGAATACCTAAATATATTTATACTATGATCATTCCTTTAGCTGAGGTGGTTGGCGGAACCATTAGGAAGTTACATCTGTAAGGATTTTGCTCAAAATTCCTGCAAAGGACGCATCAGACGACTAAAAAAGGTTACAAAAAATTGCTCAAAAAAATATTTGTACTTCAGACTGTTTTAAGGCTACAAATGAGGTAATACATACTATGTAATTAGTTAGTCCCTGCTAAAGGAGCTTTTAAGCAATTTTTTGTCAATTTGTGTCGTCTGACGTCGGCTGCCAGCTCTATGTATTAAAACTGCATTTTATTTCACGCCTTACATTAAATTTTCCATGATTTAATAGCGAAAGTTTCACTGCAAAACTTTAGCAGTTGTAGAATTATATTTTAAATAAAAAGTTGTAAGATACAGGATTTTTATTATAAAAATATTAATTAATTAATTAAAATAGTTATTTTTGCACCAAGGGTATTTATTTAGCAGATGTAGTACTAAATAATGTTAAGTAGATATTTACATAATACTTTAATTTCATATTTTGTCATTTTATTAACAAAGGTTATTAATAAGTTAATCAAAAACTGTTTTTTGTCTTTATACCAGCGCGGTCCATAAAGTGCACAGTAGGCTATTATGTGGTTGGTAACAAAGCAATAAAAACAAAATAATGAGCTAGTATGACATAAATTAATTAAACAATATGTCTTTAATATTTTCTGAAATATAAAAGATAAATTATCCAAATAGTATATGTAATACATATTATGTATGAAAATATGTAAAAGAAATACAGTATTTAAAATATTTTTATTTCTATTCTATTCTATTATAACTTAGACAGTAAAATTAGATCTGTTAAGTTTTTTTTGTATTTTGACTTGGTTTAAAAGATATTTAATTAAACCTAGCAACAACAAACATTTTATCTTCAGCGTTCTATAATTTAAGCTTATTGTCAACGCTCACCACCAAAGTATTCGATTATCTTCTAGTCTGTAAACATAATAGAGTAATTGCATCAAAAATGAAAATCCCTAAAAACCTTTTTATTGTAATCTAGAGGTAAAAACACATTGCGAAAATATTGTTTTATATTCCAAAAGTTCAACCCGGCCCCAAAATATCAAATTGAAAAAAAGGTACTTTTCAAACGTTCCGAACTCCCGCCATATTGCATGACGTCATAAGCTGCACCAGCTGTCAGAAATCAAGATGTCAACAAATAATAAACACCGATAAGTTTATGTTTATACATGGAAAACGTGAAACCAAAAATTGGTTGTAAATATTGTTTTGTGCCTTGTACAAATACAACCTGGAAAACTCCTGGGAAAAGGTTTATCACCGTGCCAAAAGGGAAAATAAGGATAAAGTGGATTAAAATAGCTCGGCGCGATATCAAAACATATCGTCACCATTTTATTGCTCATTTTAAGGATCATTTTAATGTAAGTAAAATAAAATGTCGTTTACTAGGTATATGGTTTGAATAGGTATGTTAAATATTAATAAATTCAAGAAAATACGGCTGAGCCGTAACTACTCTCAGTGTAGGGTCATAAACTTTGCTTTTGATAATTGAAGGGACAACTTTCCCAGGAGTTTTCCAGGTTGTATTTG